CGATAATAATTTTGTCTTCTTTCAGACTTTTGAGTAGCTGCTACCATATTCACTTCGAAAAATGGTGCAGATCCAGTGGGACGTGCTTCATGATTTTCATTAAAAGGGTATTATGTTGCTCAGCCACCAGGAGGCATGAGATTAATTCAGAATATTTCTTTAAATCCTTTTTATAGTATTTTTACTGCAATACCATATTTGAGGCATAAAAAGTAGAAAGAGTCTTTTCCAGTAAATCCTCATCATTCACAATGTTCCCGCATAATTTAAGTTGGGAAGTTATCCTGAATACAACAAAATTATATTCACTTACAGTTTTAAAATCTTGTAACCGTAAGTGAATTCATTCATATCGAGCTCTTGGCAATATCGTTGCCTTAAGATGGTCCTATTGTTCCTTCAAACTGCTCCATAATTCAAATGGATCTTTTAGAGTTAAGTATTCAGTCTTTAACCCTTCATAGAGATGATGATGAAGGAAAATTATAGTATTTGCTTTATCATGGCCTGATGTTTCATTTCCTTGTATAATAGTATTTTCAAGAGCTTTTGCAGCAAGGTGAATTTCAGTATCAAGGACTCATGATAAATAATTTTTTTCGAAAATGTCAAGTGCCACAAATTCAAGCTTTGATCAATTTGACATAATGAAAACTATCATAAAAGATGAATAAATTAGAGAAATAATTATGTTAATAAAAAATTAATGAAACAAAACAATTAAGGGAAAAAGAAACAGAAATACAGCTATATCATGTAAACAAGTTACTATATATGTGTTAATATTTGAATGTTACTAATATTATTTGTATGTTCCAATTCAATAATTATAGAATTTCTTGCATATTGCCTGTACGGTTATAATTCTCTTTAACTTTCCTAATTATTGTTTTGTTGATTCAAGAAATCCATGAATATTATAAGTAGTTTCATTAGTGAGTAGCTAGTTTAATGAATTTGAGGTCATCTAATAGTTATTTTATCATTGCATGAATGGGTGACTGAGGCATTCACTAAAAGGTTGAACCCGAGGAGCTCCGACGCCTCTTGAAAACTGAAAGAAAGACTGCTCAAGTTCCAAACAACTACATGGTATGTCCACAACCGTTACAAATCAAAGCTAAGAATAGAAGACAACCAACTCAATTTTCCCACATCAACCAAGAGTCGGGATCGAGAAAAGAACAAGGATAAGTTGAAGGATGATTTTGACGCAGATCGGCGATCTTCTAAGGGTCGGTTTTGCCCTACCAAAGGGCCTAAACGCGGTAGAGGTTTTCGGTCAGCAGACAGGTTCGCTCCTGATAGAAGAATTGATCGAGGACAAATAACAGGTCATTGCAAGATAAAGATGTATCAGGCTCCCGGGATTCCACCTATCCTAGATTGTCCATGTACAATTTCAATGTCAGCGTAGTGGATCTGGTATCGGTGATGAGGAGCATTAAGGAAGCACGATTCCTGAGGCCGATGAGATATGATCCCAGCCAGAGGGATCCCAATTTATGGTACGAGTATTATGGAACTAACGGCCACTGGACTGGGGACTGCCGACATCTGTGTGAGGAGGCGATGGCGTTGTTGAAAAATGTCCATCTGAGAGAGTTCTTAAGCGACCAGGCCAACAACAATTTTAGTCAATGTAATGATAAAATAATTTTAGTACTTGAATTTGAGGTCATCTAATGAAATTAGAGTTTCGTACGGATATCGTGTTATAAAATAAAAGTCAATATATAAAAGTAAAGTAACAAGAATAGAAATTATATAAGGGATGAGAGAACTCTTTTCTTTCTTTCTCTTATGTGTGCAATTTTTTCATCAGAATATAAGGGTATTTATGAGCCTAAAAAGTGATCTTACACTCCATAAAAAAATAAAGGAAATGGGTCTCCATAGCAACATAGGCATCCACTATCTTAAATTATTCACAACACTTGCAACAATTGTCAAAACAAATAGTGGATGCATTAACAATTTGTCTTCAATAATTTAAAACTCTGCATTTGAAACTACAAAATTTGTCTGAAGTTTGACATAAATATCCGAAAAGTTCTACATATGCTACATATACAAAGAGGCGGATCTAGGATTTAAATTTTATGGGTTCAACCTTTAAGGTTCTTAATATTGAACTCCTTATATCCTAAAATTATGGATTTTATATCTATAATTTATTGCGATTTTAGTAATTTTTTGTATATAAATTTGTGTTTCACGTCAATCCTTATGGGATTCAATTGAACTCGATGTTATATAGCTGCATCCATCCCTGTACATTCCTAGCTTAAACCAATAACAAAGTACAACAAAGATTATGCATGAAAAACAACTACAGAATATATCGCGTTGAATTATTTTTTACCAAACTTGAAAAGGTTGAATCACCAAGAAATTTCCAGAAGATTTTTTTTTGCACAAGGATAATTACTTGTTAGGATGATAAATTGGGACAAGCTAATCTAGGTTTGTGAAGTTGCCTACAGCAATTGACAAAATAAATTAAAATTTTAACTTTTACCTATTCAGATTAAGAAATTGGAACAAGTTTATTAGATCTAGATTTGTGAAGTTGTCAAACAGGATGACGTGCTCTTTTGGACAATTGTATATTCACATGGAGAAGGGTGATCGACAAAAATGGCTACGTAAGAGGCCGGTCTTCGGTGGCGGAATCAGAAATATAAAGAAGTAAATTCATGGAAAAAATCAAAAGGTGTCAATTATGAGCGTATATTCATATAAATTTTTCTTACCTAGTTACATAGTATAATTTTACAACGAAGGGGTGTTAATTGACATATCTTTAAAATATGTGGCCGCCAGTGCTGGTCTTAGCCGAAAGTACCCAAAATTGACCGCATCTAAAAAATAACCCCCGTACTTGCACTCAGTTATAGCTTTTTAGCATTTCTCCGCCGGATTGGTAGAGTTTATGCTTTATTTACTCTATTATTTTAAAAATAATGGATTATTAATTTTTCTACATTCCACCACCAAACAATTTCAAGTTTTAAATATTGAAGAACTATGATATTCAAGTAAAAAAGAAAGATATTTTGCTAAGATCATAAAAACGAAGACATTCTGCTAAGACCAATCCCGTTACGGGCGTGCAATTTTTTGTAGAGAAAACTACCATCTATAACCCCTCAAAATTTTAATAGCCCATATTTTTTTCACTGACACGAAATGGCCCTTCGGCCCAAACTTATTGCATCTAATAGCCCGAAATATCTATTTTGTATATTTTTTGTATAGTGATAGTATGTTTTGTATATGTTTTATATAGGAATAGTCTATTTAGTATATATTTTGTATAGTGACCGTCTATTTTGTATAGTGACGGTTTATTATATATAAATTGTATAGTGACAGTCTATTTAGTATATTTTTATATAGTGACAATCTATTTTGTATAATTTTGTATAGTGACATTCTATTTAGTATATTGTTTGTATAATGACAATTTATTTTTGTATATGTTTTGTATAGTGACAGTTTATTGTATATAAATTGTATAGTGACAGTCTATTTTGTATAATTTTGGTATAGTGACAATCTATTTTGTATACATTTTGTAATATACCAATATTCAAATATATTTTCACCGAAAGAAATACATAAATATCCATGTAAATATATACTAATGGTGGGCCTGAAATTATGATTCCCATCAAAATCAACTAATGACATACATGTGGAAATGGAAATTTATTTAGTGAAACCATAGGATTTCCCTAGCAAAGAAAGTTAGCCCAGAAAAAAAAATGAGACAATAACAGAGAGTTTGGGATTTTTATTCAAAGGGTGGTTGCCCCTTTCTCTCTAGCCAATGACAACAAATAAAGTTTAAGCAGTAATTTGGAACATGCAGGACAAAATTCCTAATATCGATCTCTGAAGTAACAACAAATCAAACCAAAAAAGAGAGAACTAATAATAATAAAAAGAAAAAGGGGAAAAAAATCAAAAATTGCAATGGAAGATTTATTAGCACACTATTTGCTTCAAATTTAACTCTACCACTCATCCAAAGTAGCAAATACGGTAACAGTTCTGCCCTAACTCTATGGTAGATACTTTACACATATTTTTTCACTGCCCCAAATCTAACCAAATATGGTCTTTCTTCAATAAAACTCCACAATTCCCAGCAAAATATGGCACATTGGCTTAAAAATTTATGCCAAAATGACTCCCTCCTCTTCATCCAGCATGGTGTTCATATTCCATATTTTGTGTTCCTTCTAATACAGGGACCATTTTCTATGGTCCAGTTGCGTAAATGGAGCAATACAGGATACGACGGTCATCAGGTGAAGGCGGTCCCCTCGGGAGTGGATCATGATGGAGGGCGTTGATTGGTGGTTCAATACGGAGGCGGCGCTTGCGACGGCGGCGTTCAACATCGGCTTCTTCGGGTGAGGAAAAAGGGTATGATCTCTGAGGGAGAAGGAAGCTAGGGTTTTGAGTGGCAGTGGTCTTGGGCTAACCTTTTAATTAGTTTTGGGCTGTTAATTGTATGGAATTATTTTGTGGCTATCAATTGATATAAGTTTGGTCCTAGTGGCTACGAATAAACTTTGCTCTTTTTTGTACGGAGAAAACCCAATTGGCCAAATCCTATGGGCGAATATTAGGCCTTATTATTGAAGTCCAGAGCCCTAAACTTCATGATCTGTAAATATCCAGAAAAAGATTGTATTTTTGGGCTGGGCTACACTGGGGCTTCGTAATCTCTTCTTATTCGTTTTTTCTTTTCTTTTTTTAACAAATATTTTTGTTTCGATGTGTTCTCATAATTTTATTTTCTTCCTCTATATAAAGCGAAAAGGTTTAATAACTCATAAATCATAACTTGTTTGAAAGTAAAGCATAATAATTATTGTCTACATCAATTCTTGATTACATGTATGACTCCTTTTCATTGATTACTTAGTAATTTAAAGGGGAATGCTTGATATTTAGACATAATATTTGAGCATGTGAAAAAACAGTCAAAAGAACTCCGAACTCTAGTCATACCAGCTGTTGAGAATTTCTGTTTACATTAACGATTCATTTTCAGGATTAAAAATACATATCATCATTCATCAATCAACTTCCTTTAAAATTTATACATATTTTGCTTCACTTCTATGTAGAAAACGAAATTACAACTAGCTTAGCCTGAAAAATCAGTGCACAAAACTTGGAGAGAACTATCCTCTCTTTTTATCATTTTTCGTCATTATTCTTCAATAATGCTTGGCGAAATTTCTGGCTATTTATTTCTACGAGGTTAAGTGACCAACGTCTTCCCATTTCTTTACATGTGTAGAGGCCTTCTCTGCCTGCATTTTCAACAAAAGATAATAATTTATTCAGTTAATATACCTCAAATTTAACGTTTATAAACACTATCAAATCATTTAAAAAATAACTATAAGTAATTATCCAGAGAAAATGAGTTTTGTAACACGAAAAATAAATAAAGTTCCTACTATAACAAGTTAAAATACATAATTAGTATTTTTTTAAAATTACAATACCTCTTTATTCCAATCACATCTTATTGTGATTATAGCCAAAATCAAAGTCTGAACTGCAGTTCCACCAAAGATCATTCCAGCCCAGATGCCCTATAGAAACATTTTCATTAGCATAAGATCACTTTTCTACCTACAAAAAATGAATTATAACCTGATCATTTCTTCACTTTTATTTACCAATCTCTATTAACTGATATTTTTTTAAAAGATCTTGGTAACAAATTTTGAAGAGAAACCTTGGAGCAACGGTAAAGTTATCTTCGTGTGACCTATAGGTGATGAGTTCGAGCTGCGGAAGCAACCTCTAATGCTTGTATTAGGAAAGACTGTTTACATCACATCCTTAGGGGCGGCCTCCGAACGCTGCATGAACACGAGATAACTTTTGCACCGTACTACCTTTTTATCTCGGTAACAAATTTACTTTCCAATTTACCAATTTACACCAAACCCATTTCCATAAAGAATTTGTAAAAAATGAGGAACATACCATGACACCATAGTGGAAACCCCATCCCATTATGAAGCCAAGAGGGACTCCAAGTAAATAATAGCAACCCAAATTTATATATGCAACATATGCTTGCCATCCAGATCCAACAGCAACCCCTATAAATATCAAAATATAATTTAAAAAACTGAATAAAATAAACAAAACAAACTTAGAAGCTTTTAACTCTTTGCTTAAATAATACATGTCATGTAAATGAATACATGACAAGCGGAGACGATTCCATGATATAGAGTTAGTAAATATAGAATAAGTACGAATTTTTAATTTTTTTTATATGTATATATAGTTCGAACCGAAAGAAATGAGCTGTGAATTTACCCGAGAGAATGGGCTGAACGCTGTTGAGGAGAACAGTGAAGGCTAAGAGGATAGAGAGTTTATGAACAGCTTCAAGGACAGGTTGGCTAGTGGAGAAAATAAGAGCAAGTTCATTGTGGAAAAATATGATCAAAATCCAGAAAAATAAACCAATCACTATTGATTGTGTAACTGCTACTGCTGTTGCAAACTTGGCTCCTTTTCCATTTCCAGCTCCCAACTCATTTGCTACCCTTACTCTGCACCGTATACATAAAGTTAAATTATTTTTAAATATATAAATTTCTTATTCTTTTTAGACATATTAAGAAATAAAAAAGCATAGCATAAATTGGAACCAAAAATAAAAAGGGGCATTCGGTGCACAAGATATTCTATTTTTATATAGGGTCCGGGGAATGGTCGCACCTCAAGAAATATGATGAGCATTAGTAGCTGCTTTCACGGCCCGAACTCGTGACTTATAAGTCATACGGAGTATATTATAAGTTCTTGAAATGTTTTGGATCAAATAGTGATAACCACACTTCAGAAGTATTGCACTAATATTGAAACTATGTACACTGACAGTATAAATAATCTATGTTTTGTTAGTGCATATATATCAAATTATTTTTTAATTAGTACTATATCATTTAGAAAGGTGTACTTGGACAAGATTTTTTTCAACTTCAAAATCTTGGGGACCTTGACTTAATATATACTAACATGTGATTCTTTCATGTCTATTTTCCATTTCTGAAACTGTTATATACAGGATAGCAAACTTCTGATAAAGTATATTGGACTCGTGTAAATTATAGACTATTACATTACGTGTATTACCTAACTGGTCGATAATTATTGGCCCTACGTAGGGAGTTCATAAAAAATCAAAAAATCGAATCAAATCGAAACCGAATCAAATCGACCAAAAAACTGATATTTTTTAGGTTTGGTTTGGTTTTGGTTTGGAATTTTAAAAACCGATCAAATTTGGTTTGGTTTTGATTTTAATAAAAAAATCGAACCAAACCGACTATAAAAGTAAGTATTTAAATTTATTATTACACA